AATGATTCAGTTGTTTAGTTGTTATAAGTATGAAAATTATATGCCTGATTTTTTATAAAGTATCGTGTATTTATAAAGTATAGTAGATGAAGATTATAAAAATATATTCTGGAATCAAAATGTGACATTATCAATTGTCATAAATTTAATCAAATACAAATTATTTAGGTTCATCTGATAGTACAATGAAAAAAGTTTACCGTTCACTCATTTTGATTGTTTTAATTAATGTTGGCGGCTATTTATTGTCTACTATGATAATGATATTCATATTAATACCAATTACAAGTGGAAATCAGTTTTCTCTGTTACTATATGGAATAATTCCTTCAGTTTTACTTAATACAGCTAGTGCATCTACTGCCCCCATTCTTTATATAAATTGGTAAATTATGTAAACCTATTTGAGTCTCAGATTAATTTTTTTTTTATTTTTCATGCCTCGGAAACTCAAATTTCCTTCTTTATAAATGTTAAAGTTTGGCTGATTTTTTCGGTTGACGTCTATTTTTTCCTTCCTAATACTTGTCTTCTACCTGTAATGTTCGAAGGAAAAAATGATTGACAATAAAAAGGGAAAATTAATCTGAGACTCAAATAGGGCTGGAGGGAAGAGGGAAAGGGAAAAAGGGTGGAGGGAAAAACTACTGAAAATTAAAATTTCAGTAACGACTACAACAAAGCTTACAAAAAAGAATTCAAGTTAATTAAAAGCCTTATTATTAAAGTATTACGAATTAAAAATAACACAATTACATCAACAACCATAACAGTTTTTTGAAGGATATTTAACTTTATTTTATATTTTATTGTATCTTTTATTTTATTTTTATTCTACTAATATTTTATGTTTTTAATTTTTCATACAAATTTTTTACCTGTAAAGACTGGTCCGTAGCTAAATGTTAGCTAAACACTTAATATTAAAAAATATAATTAAAAATGCTTAAATATGTCTGAAATTAATAAGGTTTTGGTTTAGTATTGATAATTATAGGTGTTATTTTTGGGAGCCAGGCAAATATGCCAGGCTAATAACTTATTTTCAGCTCTATCAGGATTATGAATCAGATGCTGACTTTAGACTGAGTATTAGTTTCACAGCTAAAGTTTATGCTTTATTGGCTTTATTTAATTTTTTATAAATTCTTTGACTTTAAAAATGTTAACACCAGCATTCAAATTTATTGACCTTGGGCGATTAGTAAAGAGCAATTTTGTTAATTATGTTAATAGGTAACGGGGTTATACTTTATATTTGAAAAAAATAATAAAGCTTGATGTTAAACTTAGATTTTTTAATGAATCCCAATATTTTTATTTTAAATTATAAATCTCTTTAAAAATTTTAAATAAAATTACAATTTACATTCAATTTACTTCCTTTCCATCAGTTCTTTTTCGGTACTCTGCGTTTATATACCCCCACGTCCGCAAATGTTTGTCCGCACTTTTTTCCTTTTCCTTCTCCTTCTTTCTCCTCTCACAAGGATGATAAATGGTCAAGCATCAATAAACCCCCCATTTTCTTTCTCTTCTCCTTCTTTACTCCTTTCATTTTGATTAAAATGGTCATTTAAAAATAGAGGTCAAGAATTTGGCACTCTTCACTTATATGCCCATTTTTCACCGTGTCGAAACAGAATAAGTATGGCGTCAATCAAAAGAGCTTGGAAAGCTTAGTCGAATTAGTGCAGGTATAAGTTGGTCCGGTACCTAGGAACCGAGATATAGAGCTCGAAAAGGTCAAAAACCATAGGTGGAGTAAGCTCAGTTTGGAGTGAAAAATACGAAATGCAAGTGATTGATAGCTCATTTGATTGAACTCGTCGAGCTGAGTCGAATAACACCAGAATCAGCTTTATTCGATGATTCTAAGCAAAATTGTGACCAACTGAATTTTCGCTGCAATAGCCTCCAAAATAATTTCTAAACATTGTTTTATTTTTAAATGACCATTTTAATCAAAATGAAAGGAGTAAAGAAGGAGAAGACAAAGAAAATGGGGGGTTTATTGATGCTTGACCATTTATCATCCTTGTAAGAGAAGAAAGAAGGAGAAGGAAAAGGAAAAAAAGTGCGGACAAACATTTGCGGACGTGGGGGTATATAAACGCAGAGTACCTCTTTTTCATTTAAGCTGACTGCACCAAGTTTTTAGTACATAATCCTTCGTCGATTGATCATTTTTGCAGCCCTCATTTTTAGTGTTAAAATGCTTTAGTTAATTTAAAATATTTTTTGAAACTGTTTACTTACAAGCTTAATGCAATTACATACAGCGCCGGGATCTATGCAATTTTCGTCACACCCTGTGCAACAAGAACGAAGAGTATACCACTCGATATAAGCTAATTTTTTAGACATAATTTTATTTGCCAAAAAATTAATTGAAAAAATAATAAGGAAAATCGACATTTTAATGGACATTTTTAGTTTATTTAAATAATTCTATTTTTGGCTATTTAAAAAATTTTAAAATTGAATTGAATATTTGACGTTTGACTGTCTATTTTTTATTGGAAAGTATGTTTCAGAATATTCAAGCTGTTTAAAATTGCAGTTCGTTTATGGCTAAATATTATTAATATCGTCGGAAAAATTAAGGATTGATGTTAGTTGATATATTAATTCATAAGTCATTACCGGAATTAGTGTTGGGTTTCGTTTTTCCAACCTGAAAGTCGACCATTAAAATTTTCCAAACCCCGACTTCCTCAATGGAACATTTCACCTTTTAATCTCAATGACTTTTCTGCACCGCAGGCGAAAATTTTGAAAATTCATGCCTAAATTAACATTTATAACGTTCTTTTTTGTTTAAAATATTTAAAAAATAATTTGTGCATTTAAAATTAAAATTAAAGTTTAAAATTTTTCATTTTGGAAAAAAATCGCCTAACGCTCATGTGCCAATAATAAATTCAAACAAGCCCCACAGAATATCAAAGTGACTGATCAAATAAAGGAAAACTGAGAGAAATATAAATATAGTAAAGCGGTTGGTCCCGTATCCCAGTTGCCTCGTTGTTCAATTGATGTTATAAGCAAAGTCGCGCATGCTGCAGACATGTGTGAACTCCGCAGAGTATAGAAATAGGTGAATCGCTCGCAGTGGGGAAATATAGGGAGACGTCTTCCCTATAAGACTCGATGGATTGGCCGGCCGGCAACTCTATTGAATGAATGAAGAAGTGATCCACCTTTGCCTATTCCTTTAGGGCTTATATGCACCAGCCTACTTCCTTATTGCTTTCCCAAGGATAAGTTAGTGGCGATGTTAAGCTTAGATAATGGGCGGCTAATAACTCTCTGGGAATGACCGTTTGTGGCGTTCTTTGCCTTTTCTCTGGGAACTTCCGTTACTTAGCACAAAGTTTAGAGCGACATTATTGTTCACGTGATTTCAGGATGAACTCGGCCTTACAATATTTCTTTCCATTTTCCTTCGAAAATTTAATGACCAACAATAAGTACAACGTGAGGTATTTTTGTAATAATATTTTTTCTTAATTTTTTCCGATATTTTAGTAATCATAATTCGTAACTCAAAAAATGCCGTAATTCATAATTACAACGCAACTTTGCCCTCGCGCTTCTCCAGGGGAATCCATTTTCTTATGGAAGTTGAACTAAAATTTTAAATTCTAATCCTAAATTTCTTGAATTACAGTAATATTCTCAAATAAATTTTAATATAAAATTTTATTTTTTCCAAAATCATTTAGCCATTGTATATCTAAAAAGGTTTACCTGTCAATCATTAAATACATATACTCATCAAATAAACCCAAAAATAAATAAAACAATCTTTTTTGGAAGGCCACAAATGTTTAAATAATATAAGAGGATTGCGCATATATACAAATCAGAGAATTACAAGTATTTATTTGAGGCAAATATTGTATTTCTTTATAGGAGGGAGAACATTAGCCGGAAATGACCGATGGAAAGGAGAGACGAGCGGCTATCCCTCTTTTTTTAATTTTTGACAAATAATGTTCTTTTGTAAAAATAATTTTTTGAGAATATAAATAATTGAAAAATTTAGAAAAAATCACGTCTAAGAGGAATTTTTAATAATTTTTAAATCAAGCAACACACCTTCATGGAATATTGGAGAAAAAAAATGCCTTAACTTGTTCAACAGGGAAATATTAATGATCAAAATTTTAGTGAATGTATTAAGTCTTAGTTCCATTGACTGTTTAGTGATTATAATAATTTGTGGCACAGGAATGCCTTTGGCCTTGGGAAGCACTTCACCCGCTTTTAGAAGAATTAAATCACTTAAAAAATTTGGCCTCGAGAGAGATCAAACTTGTAGCAAATGCATTAGGTACGTTAGTTCCCATTCGGGTTTGGTGATTTATACGATGAGTGGTACTGATTAATGATTATGGTTTGTGCCACTAGAAAGACTCTGGAAACTCTGCCGAGTCTTGCCTTTTAATCGTTTTGCTTTGGGTCTTCGTTTCTCGACCTCTTCTAGTCAGGTTTCGCAACGCTTATAAGACGATTATACCCATTCATTCTTGTCATTAGCTATAGATTAGCTCTACTTTTACATATTGAGCATCCATTACCTTTATTGAAACAACCTACACGCGTCTGAACTTTAAGTTTATGTTTGTAATTTTCTGACGTTTAGTATTTTGTCAGCATTTAGGGGTTTGTATTTCGGGGTTACTTTGTAATACGCGTGCTCCTAGTGTATAACCAGAATAACAAATTACCGTATTAGAGATATTTAGGTAATTTGTTGAGAAATATCTTGTGCTTCATTACTCATTAGATTATTTAAAAATCAACATTAAAATAATAAATTCGTCATTAATATTTTTATAAAAATTTGTCATTTTTTATTTTGAAATTAACGCTTTAATAAAACTCTTTTTTTACAGTCAAAATAATTAAACACGGCTTGTACTTTCCGCGTGCCTTTAATCATAACAAATAATATTTTTTTCTTAGACATTATTTTTTGTCTAAAATGCCTTTATAAAAATTTTTGGGTGGGCGGCCTGACTGCTGCGCAAATACATTCACTTAATCGTCTTCCCTACATTCATTCCTCCCCTCATTTATTACTCCTCTCAATTTATTACTCCCTCTCGATTGGCCCTATATTACCTTTTTCTTTCCCTATAATCGGAGAAACAATCCCTTTTTTGCCTTCATTTTCTTGTAGTGATTGTTTAATTCTAAAATCTCCTTCTCCCTCTTCATCTCCTCTGTTTCTCTCCTTAAATCCCTCTCCTCACCTCCTTCCTAAATCTTCAGCTTCCTCCCTCTACTCCCTTCCCTTTAACATTAATTTGACTTCAGATTCGTTTTTTTCTATCCAGTCAGCCACTCCCCTCAATCTCCTTCTTCCCATTCTATCTCCTTTCCTCAATAGGCTAAAAGGGCAATGAGGCCATAAGACAAACAATTGGGGATGTAAATTAATAATCTTGTGATTGTCTACAATAATTAATAAATAAAGTAAATGCACTCTTAAAAGGAGTGTATATTTATTGGGTTTCAATGCCATTCATTTAACAAATTAATGTAGAAAAATTTTTTTTTTAATTTAAATAAAAAATTTTCAAATTTTTGTAAATTATTTTTAAGTGATTAATGCAGTTAATAATTTCAGGTTGAAAATAGAGATCAGATATTTAAAAAAGCCTTGATCTTGAACATGAATCCTGATTTTGGTTGAGGGCCTGTGCTGTGCTTTGGGCATTTGTTGTCCGGCTCCGATCTTTTTCAAACCCTAGCTCCGGCTCTGGCTCCGGATTTTAAAATCTTGACTCCGGAACTAGCGTCTAGTACCATACACAGCACCGTTAAAGACTTGACTTGATTCTTTGCTTTGAGTGAACGAAAGATCAAGAAAACTGAAAAAGGCCTTGATATTAGATGTGGATCGAGAAAAAGTCAGATCTGGATCATGATCCAGGCCGATCTCTATTGAAAATGCCAATATGTGAAATGAAATGTCCTGTCTATCAAATTCTAAAAATAATTTAATCGTATTAGAATTTCAATTTTAAAACTTCAATAAACCTCAGTTAATAGAATTAACTTAATCTGATTGCTCTTTCTAACTAACTTTATATTTTTTATTTTATACTCCTTTTAATTAACTTTTTTACAAAAAATTTCTAAAAATAAAAATTATCTTCTCATTTCTATTTTTATTCTCCTACAATCTTAAAATATTATAATAAACTTTTATGGCAATTTTCTTGGAAAAAAATATTTAAAAATAAGCTCAATATCAATTTCACTTAATTTCCGCTTTAAACTCTTTAAGACGATAAGGATAATTTATATTTATTTTAAACTATTTTAATTTTTCATTTTTTAATTCAAAAATTTCAGTTAAAAATTATACATATAATTAATTGCCATATTTTTCTAAAATGTCTAGAACCTAGGACTGCCGATCAGGCTGTCCGAAAGTGAAAAATATGCAGTCCGCAATCTGGGTATATAAAAGGTAAAAAAGCCGCCGGAAGCAAAAAAAATTTGAAAACTACAAAACTTATTTTAAATTGAATATAACCCTTAACTGAAAAGTGGCTACTAAATAATTTTCTATTGTTTAATAAAAAATTCCCCGCACCTTTTATCATTTCCGATCGACCTCTAGTTATCATAACAAGATATCTTTTTTCTATTTCATCTAATCCTATTAATTAATTGCCTACTATAAGTATTTTTATATAAATTAAAAAAATTTCAAAATAAATTTAATTAATTTTACAAGTATTTTAATTTAAAAATGCAAAACATAAATTCCTCTATGCAATTTAATCCCCCTCCACTACCTTCATTTTCGTTTGAAGAACCAATAGCAGTCACAAAATGTGCAAACAACAACACAGATTTATTAATCCCTATTCCAAACAATTTAAATACTGTAATCGCATCAACTGCCAACCTTCCTTCCTCAAATATATTTCCCTTTAATTTGAACGAAATTAACTCTATACAGGTAAAAATTATATTTTATTTTATAAAGTGTTTTTTAATGTAAAATTTCCTGTATTATGAATCTTATCGTTATATTTGCTTTTAGGGTAGCATAAATTCTTAATAAATCCTATATTTTTAAATTTAACCCTATTTCAATCGAGGTTCCAATATTTTACAAAAATTCCTAAATCCAGATTTATCTCAGAAGGAAAGTTTCAGATCATCAACACATCATTTCAACTAAAGCTTTTTCAGCGAAACCTCTAATAAATGACTATTTTAGTTGGTTATGGTTAAGATTTGCTTGGACTTTTTGAAGGGTTTACGTGTGATGAGTCAAGAAGTAAAATTGCCAAAATAATTTAATTGGCATACAAAAAATTACGGAGTCCCAACAAGAGAAATATTCGACGCTCTATTTAATGTTAAAATATATAAATCTATTGCTTAAATTAAAAATAGCTATTAAGAAATTTAATTTATTAAGTTCTCATAACAGAGATGAGTACAATATAAGCGTGTTTCAGATAAAAAGCACTATTTGAAAATTTAATAACTTACACCGTGTTGACAAATTTTAATGAAATTTGGTATTTTATATCTATATTTTATGGCATATTTTTGACATAAAAATTATGTCTAAATTCGTACCCTAACACTGGATTTCAAATCCGTAATTAATTTCTCCCTTTTTTCATTGCATGCGTTCTTAATTTTTTTTCTGCGAGTGGCGAAGAGTAGATACTGTATTGAAGTTGTAATGTTTCGTCTTTAAAATATGGAAAACTCATTTCTTCAACTAAATTTTTCATTTCAGAATCAATTAGGAATTAAAACAATAGCTAACAACAACATTTCCGGTGCCCAACAAAATTTATTAAACCTTCAAAATATCTACAACAATCCTTCCTTAATGAATACTATTTTTGGGAACAATTCTTTATTTAATATTTCTTCATTTCAACAGCCTTCAATACAAATTCCACCAAATAAAAATACAGAAAATTTAACTAATACAGAAATTAATACCCTTCCCCCAACTTCTACTACTCTTATTTCCCCGAAATTTCTTCCTCCAACTCTTATTTTTGCTGGCCAAAGTCAGTTATTAAAAATTTAATTTTTAAAAATAAAATTTTATTTTTTTCCAAAGTCTTTTAACTTTTAGTAATCTAATTAATAAAGAGGGGGCTGTAGTGTAGTGTACCGGTGGTAAAAGTTCGGGACGTGACATATGTCATTCGATTCGTCTCGGCGAGCTGAGTCGAACGGTACCACTCCCTACTTTAGGAAATGATTCTGGACCGAGTTATAGGTCCCTGAAAATCGAAAAACCATAGGGGGGACCAAGCACTTTTTTGGGGTGAAAAATTCGAAAATGCAAATTATACCTCATTCGAAAGAGCTCGACGAGCTGAGTCGAATGACACCAAAATCAACGGAATCCGACTTGATTTGACAAAGTTATGACCGTTTGTTTTAGCTCCTTACCTATGTCATTTGTGGAGATTTTTGCTGCTACGGAGGCCCCAAATACGTCTAGAGCAAGGGAGATAGGAATAGGTTTATGTTACGAGCCCAGACCCACCGCCCGTAGACTCCCCGCGAGGCGCGTGCCGCAAAACCCCGCGCGAAGCGCGGGGTTTTGCACAAGCGCCTCGCCGACGCCCCATAGGTTTAGGTTTTTTTTGTTTTTGTATCATAACTTTGTCTAATCTTGTTCAATCACGGTGATTTTGATGTCATTCGACTCAGCTTGTCGAGCTCTTTCGAATGAGCTAACATTTATGGAATCGAATTTTTGACCATAAAATCCCCCCTATGGTTTTTGACCATTTCGAGCCCTATATCTTGACTCAAACTTGTTCAATCAAGCTGATTTTGGTGTCATTCGACTCAGCTCGACGAGCTCTTTCGAATGAGGTATAATTTGCATTTTCGAATTTTTCACCCCAAAAATGTGCTTGGTCCCCCCTTTGGTTTTTCAATTTATCGGGACCTATAACTCGGTCCAGAATTATTTCCTAAAGTAGGGAGTGGTACCGATCGACTCAGCTCATCGAGACAAATCGAATGACATATGTCACGTCCCGAACTTTTACCACCGGTACACTACACTATATCCAAAGAGGGTTTTCAAAATAATATAACTCAACTTTAGACAAAGTTTAATATTTGCCTTCCAAAAATAAAAGAAACGCATCAACAACAAGCCCTTAAAGTATAGAATATTGCTAGATACTATATATTTGGATATTAATTTATTTAAATATATGTAGTAAGAGTTTAGGAAGAGTTTAACCCCCTGGCATGATCCTAACCAGAGGTGGGTCGGAATTCCGATTTCCGACTTCCGATTTCCGACGTTTTTTTCCTTCCGATTTCCGATTTCCGAAATTATGGGAAAATTTCCGATTTCCGACAATTTTTAAGGCATATTTCCGACTAACAATTTTTCCAAAATTATTAAAATTTTCGCCTGCGGCGCTGAAAAAGGAAGAAATCTGGCTTCTAGCCTTCTATAATTCTCAAAATTTTCGCCTGCGACCAAAAAATGGAAGATTTTTGGCTTAAGGATCTTCCAAAAATCCCAAAAATTTTGCCTGCGGCGCTGTAAATGGAAGTTGAATGGCATATCTGAGGATTAGGATGGATTAAGGTGGACTTGAAGTTATATCGTGTGATTTCAAGGGGTCATAGGATCTGGGTGTGATATCGAGGGATTGAGTCTTCGATCATTTTGCGGCTATTAACAACTTTAGCTCTGTATTTCAAGCAGGAGTGGGTCCTTAAATTTCCTTTACAAATCTATATATCTCATCCCTTTATCAGTCCTCAATTTTAATCTCCAAATATTCCTATTAACTCTATAAATTCTTTTACATATTATTTCAGTTATGAAAATAAAAATTTTATTTCCGATTTCCGCCTTCCGATTTCCGAAAAAAAATTTTGATTTCCGATTTCCGAGTTCCGACTTTTGAGCCATTTCCGATTTCCGGCAGTTCCGATTTCCGACACCTCTGACTGTTCCGACCCACCTCTGATCCTAACCACGCGACTTCCTCGTAGTTAGTGTTAGGTGCTTTCGCTCACATATACAAGAGTTCTTTCAACCACAAAGCTCTTTTAAAAAAAATGCTGCTAGGTTAATCATAATTACAATATATATTGTGCAGAATATGCCCTCAAAATCCTGAACCCATGCCTATGCGTTTTACTAGCAAATTTGAACAATAAAAATTTCCTTTGCCTTTGTTTACTTAGAGTTTTCTAGTTAAAATTCTGTACTTGTAGCAATAAATCAATTTAATTAAGATAATCAAAAAGAAAAATTTCAAATAAAAGGCCTACAAACACCAAACAGTATAAAAACTGATGAGAAAAGAAAAGTTGCTAGGAGGAATAGAACAGCTTTTACAGATTCACAATTGGAGGTATTTAGATATAGTTTATTTTTAACCTAAGCTCAAATATTTGTGGATATTTCTGTGTATTTAAAAATGGTTTTCTGATTAACTTAGAAATACAGATTTATTAACTTTCTATAAATTTACTTACCATGAAACATTAAATTAGCCTTAATTACAATGTGCCAAAGCTCATTTAGCAATATAAAAAACGAGAGTCAATTCAAAAAGGGGACGGCGAAGGTCAAAACTGGCACTTCACTATTTGATAAATAAGGCAACTCAAGAATGTGATAGTCAATAGGTTATTGAATTTATAAGTATGAGATCGAATAAGACCTCACTTTTTTGTAATTTGCAGGGCTCCTGAAATAGTTATGCAAGCATTTTAAAAATAAAATTTTTTACATACATGCATGGCTCTGCAACTATAATTTTGCCATATCTCTATACTCCTTACTTTTAGGAATTAGAAAATTGTTTTGAACGTCAACAATATCCAGATGTTAGTGTTAGAGATAAATTGGCTAAACAAACAAATTTGCCTGAATCGAAAATTCAGGTATTTTTAGAAAATATTTTTGGAAAAGGCATTCTTATCTATAAATGTACAAGGACTTTTAGTTAATAAAAAATTGAAAATTCCATTTATTTTGACAATGGACCAGAAAATATCGTAGTCTTGATTAGAGATATTTGGGGGAGCTGTTCTGACCTAGAGCTGTTTTCGAATATTTCAGATATCCGTATTTCTGTGATTTTCTCAATTTGCGACCTATTCGATTGCATCCTTCCAAATCACTGAGATATTAATGGACTTAATACTTTAATCCCAAAAATCCACCGATATCCCTGTCGATACCCGGATATCCCTTCAATACAATTACTTTTATTTTTCCACAGGTTTGGTTCAAAAATCGTCGTGCTAAACACAGGTTGTCTAAAATAAAATTAAATTAAAATATTTATTTAGAAAATATTTACGTAATTTACCTGCAACCGACGAAGATAACGAAGTTTTGCAAAATAATAAAATTGAAAAAGTAACAGAAACACCTTCAATAATTTGTAAGTTTTCAAACAAACAATTTTGCGTTTGACTAAATTAGATTGCGGCAGAATCACAAATTTTGGATTCATTAACGGGATTTGTAGTGACAATATTATATAATAGATTTAGTTAGGATTTATTAGTTAGTATGTACGTTTATTCGATTGTAGTTGTTCCCTTATGCCTGGCTAGTATTTTTGGAAGCTTGAACAATTCAAGCTAAAAATTCGCAAATTAAATTAAAATGTAATTCAGATAAATTTCCGTGACGGGATCTTGTAAAATCCAACAAAGAATTCAGTCATATCCCTCACTCTAATTTAAATTATTTTTTTGGCGAATCAGGGTCCTCCTCACACGTGTCAGAGTTTTTCTAGTTATTTACTTCACTTGTGGCGGCTCAAATGAGGGAATTTTAAGGACGTTTGAGTTTTTTTCATTTCATTTCAGTACCGATAATTCAGTCCCGATCAGACGTGGGCAAAACGTTTCGTTGTTTCGTTAGTTTCGTTATGTTTTTCCTGTTTCGTCTCGTTTCGTGACGAAACACTTTTTAATTTGTTTCATTTCGTTTTGTTAACGAAACACCTGTGTTTCGTTAACGAAACATTACCTATTTTTTAAGCCAAAATATTACCCGAAACTAAAAAAATTTCCTCTGGTGATAAAAATTCTCAAATTTTCGCCTGCGGCGCAAAAAATGGAAGAAATCTGGCTTCTTAGCCTTAAAAATTCTCAAATTTTCGCCTGCGGCGCAAAAAATGGAAGAAATCTGGCTTCTTGGCCTTAAAAATTTTCAAAATTATCTGGAAGAAATATGGCTTAAGGACCTCCAAAGGACCTCCTTAAGCTTAAGGACCAATTTTCGCCTGCGACGATGAGAAAGGACCCCCCTCGTACCTACACACTAATGACCTATTGACCCTGAAGGCGGCATAAAAACTTTTGATCAACATCATTTTTTGCTTAGATCTCTTTACAAGTTTAATCAGTCGATAAGTGGGATTAACGGAGCTAATGAGGGGTACAGAGTTGACCCCCTTTTTAATTATCTTTAGAGCCCGTACCGGGAGTATCCGAAGATTAATCTTTTTGCATATTTTGGAGGGACTTGGCTTAATAATCCAAAAGTTTTGTCGTCAATTACTCATTCAGTAATGCGACAATTTAGACCAATCACGATCCCGTATCGGGAAAGGTATCACCATTCCAAAATCCAGATCCCGGTTTTTCTATAAATCCCGATACTGCTGAACTCTAGATTTAGGTGAGATTAAGAGAAAAATTTGATAATGGGACCACAATTTATGGTCCACATAATTTTACGATCACTTATATGTCTTTATTGGCCAATTAACATGCTTAAAATTGTGTAGTTAATAAAATAATCCAGATTTTTGAGATTTTTTTCGAAATTAAAATGTTTCGTTTTGTTTCGTTTCGTTTTGTTAACGAAACGATTTTTAAAAATTTTTGTTTCGTTTCGTTTCGTCCGAAAAAAATTTGGAGTTTCGCCCAGGTCTGGTCCCGATCATATACATACTAGTGATGCTCGGGTATCCCGATCCCGACTCCCGACTCGGGAAAATTTCCCGAGTTTTTGGCCTCCCGATCCCGATCCCGACTCCCGATGTCAATTCCCGACTAAGTCGGGAAATT